GCCTCCCAAAGTGCTGGATTATAGGCATGAGCCACAGCGCCCGGCCTTTTTTTTTTTTTTTTTTTTTTTTTTTCACCTTAAGAAGAAGTTCCAAGGGATCAGAGGCCACACTTACTATTCGCATTGTGTACTGGTCCTGTTATTTTTTCTGAAAGTTGGAGAGAGAGAAGTAAAAGGGCTAAGTACGTAATACCTTAGGACATTTTCAGGTAAACAGAATTGTTAATTTAGAATGATTTTATTTTAGATCTTTTGAATGGAAATATAAATATAATTTATAGATCCTCATTGAACGATATTACAAATATTGTTCATTAGGAGCTCAAGTAATGTTATAGTTTAGCTTCCAATGCAAACATATGAGCATTTTATAGAAATACTCACTATAGTTCCACATATATTTCAATAGTTTATGTATAAATAAGTTACCAGCCCACATTTTCTTTATTCATTTATTTTTTTAAGCCAGTTTACCTGATTTTTATAATATGATGGGTAATAAACATAAAGATATGGGCCTCCTCTGTTTACTTGGCTGGCATATTTGCAAATGTGAATTTAACGTTCTGATTTTTAACAAGTTTTGTTGATTGGAGTCCCAGAGTACCAAACCCAAGAGACTGGGCACATATTTTATTTCTTCTTCCTTTGTTACTTTTCGCTTTGCAAAGTGCTGAATGAGCCAGGCCTGAAGAAAATGAGGGGTGATATTGGATCCATGATTCTGTGCCCCAAACATTAGATAGGGTGGAATGATGGAAGCGGACTAGTAGGGAAGAATAAGCTGCTTCTGCAAATAACACCCTTTTTAAATCATGATTAGGGTGAGGGGTATGCCCCCCAGCAAAAACTATATAAAGACATATGGGAAAAATGAGTAGTGCTAAAAAGTAAAGAGAAGTACGGTACAGTGAAAAATACAGTTTAGCTGGTCATTGCATTCTTTTCCTGGTGGAGAAACATTTTCTGGAAACCAACTTAATTTTAAGAACTCTTCCAGAGCAGTGGAATCTGACCTTCTGGGATCTTATCAAGCTGTGATAATGGGATCAATTATTCTTTCTTTTGAACACATACTAACATTGGATGGAGTAGTCATTGTGCCAGTGACCTTCATGGTATTATATAACCACTTATTGATTGCTCATTATTTATGGCTGTGCTTCTGTGGGATCCCTTTCCTGGGAGCAGGGATGGCCTCTGCTGGCTAGAGGTTTTCACTAGAAGATAGATGACAGAAGCATCCACAGCCTGGTCTGCTTTGGGATTCTAAGATGACCTTTAATTTTCCTAATTCACATTTATTTCTTAATGACTATAATTTGTTTTACTCTTCAATCTTGACTTCTGAAGTTTTTAGATTTCCAGGTGACTTGGATTTTGGAGGTGGGTAGTAGCTTTGAGCTGTTAAAATCTAGTGTTACTGTATGTGTGGTCAGAATTCATTGCCTGTGTGGTATCTTTTTGTTCTTTATGAGATTCTCTTTATGGCTTAGTAAGCGATCCTTTTAATAAATGTTTCTTTAAAAAGAATATTTGAATCTACTTCGGGGACTGGTTACATAGACACTAAACTTTTCTTATGTAGTGTAAACCTTCGGGACTACCAGAGATTGTTCCTTCTCTGATCTCTGGCCTGCCCTGTCTTCTCACATGCTACCTTTTCACATCCCCCTGGGATGAGGTTGACGAGGGAGGATGTTGGGAGCAGTGTAAGCTATGTGGGACAGTCTGAGGGCCAAACATTACAGGAAGAACCTCTTGTTTTGACTGGTCATCCTTCAACATGTATAATATTTTTCCAAAATTATTACCATAAAGGAATTGTCTCTTTAAGAGCCTCCTTTTGGTTTGTCTTGACTGTGTAAGTTTTTTAATTTAATGAAGGTAGATCATTTTAGAAGAATTTAGTCTATGATAAAGGACAGATCACAGCTTTTGCTCTATGTGTTAATCTTTAGGGCATGGGCTAGAGGGGAGATAGAGAAGGGGTTTAGCATGCTACTTTATGAATGGAGGGTCATTTGTTCATTTTGTCTGCTTTCTTCCTCTTCTTCTGTCTTTCCACACACCCTGTATTCTGGAATAGGATATTACTCTGGCCTTTTGCTGTGTTTCCATGTTGCATTGCACAGTGGTGAAGAATCCAGGCTCTGGAGCCAGTCTACTTGTGTTTGAATCCTGTCTCCACTGTTTATTAACTGTGTGACTTTGGGCAAGTCACTGAATCTCTCTGTGTTTTGGTTTACTCATTTATTAAATTGGAAATAGTACCTACTGCACAAGGTTGTTGAAGGGATTAAAGGAGATATGTATAAGTGCTTAGAATAGTGCCCAATAAATGTACCCAACATATTCAATAAATGCAAGCTATTAGCCTGTTTCATATTTGTCTATGACATTATATCAGTTTGCACAAATAAAGGATAAATTTCAACTGTCTAACATTAAGAAATAGGACCGTTAACTGCTTGAATTTTTTGAACTGCTAAGTATATGAATCTCTTGAGTACTATTGCAGTGACCACAAATGTTAATTGTTGTTGTCACTACTTAAATGATGACGTACTTTCGGAGGAAAGGCTACAATTCATTGATGCTTTTATGCTTTGTATGTGCTGTGTAAAATGGTTCTCCATGTAGATAGTTTGATTTTTAGACTTTATTAGTCACTATATCAAACATTGAATTAATTAAAATTTCCCCTGAAGATTTTTGACCTGTAACTAATGTTACATTAATAAGCTTTTTCTTGGCAAGGGCGGTGGCTCATGCCTGTAATCCTAGCACTTTGGGAGGCTGAGGCGGGAGGATCACCTGAGTTCGGGAGCTTGAGACCAGTCTGGCCAACATGGTGAAACCCTGTCTCTACTAAAAATATAAAAATTGGCTGGGCGTGGTGGTGGGTGCCTGTAATCCCAGCTACTCAGAAGGCTGAGGCAGGAGAATTGCTTGAACCTGGGAGGCAGAGGTTGCAAGGAGCACCTACTGCACTGCAGCCTGAGTGACAGAGGGAGACTGCATCTCAAATAAAGCCAAACAAAACACACAAAAAACGCTTTTTCTTACTCCCTTTGCAGCATCAGTATTCCCATTCAGCTGCTAGGTCTGGGGTCTGATTTCAATCTCAGATTTTAGTAATTAACCATGGTGGTCCTGTACATGAATTAGCCATTGCTGAAGAATATAGTCATGCTCATAAGCAGCCTTATTTCACTTTTATTTATTTATTTTAAATACCCAAAGCAGATAGCACTTAGAGAGCTTGGTCTGACTGAATTTAGTTTTTATAGGCTAAGGCTAAATATTTTAAAATCAATTAAATCTAGGGGCATAGGATAAGACCTGTATCATAACTGTAAGATGCATTGTGCTTTTGGGGACCTATAGGAGTGATGGGGGAAGGGAAACTCACTGGTTAATAAATTCACTACTTGTTTTTGCTGAGAGTAGCAATGATGCTATATACTTTCAAAAATATGGAATGCTTTTGTTCTTTAATGTCTCATAGAGAAAGCCTATGTATTTAGGTGTCTTATCCACTTCTCATCTAGGTTCACTTAACTGGCAATGTTTTGCGGGAATTGCCTGTGAGGTCCTGGGTAGCCATGCTGGCATTTGGGTTGTGGGGTGTAAGGTAGGGGGTTGTAGAGAAGCGTCTGGTGGATCCTGTGAAAATGAGGCTGGCCCTCACTTCCTGCTGCTGGTGGCTGTAAGACAGGTGCTGAATGCTGTAGCTCTCCTGCCCAGGGGCCAGGCAGGCCAAGCCAGGAGGACACTGTAAAGCATTTGCCAGAAGGTTGGCAACTGAAGATGATTGCAAGTGACTGACTACACACTGTTAAGGTCCTTCTTGTCTTGGTTAGTACAAAAGGAACATGGGAGTGTGGTTAGAGACCTGGGCACTTTGCCCAGCTCTGTAACCCATTCATTGTGGGGCCTCAGTGATGGTCTCTATTTTGTGTGTGCATGAAAAATGGAGAATAATAATGCCACCTGCTTATTTCTAAAGGTGTTCTGAGGATTAATGAGTTAATCACCTTACATGAAGGCAGAGAGCCTACCCTGTTAATAATTTTCATTGCTTTTCCAGGGAAGCTCCAGTTTGGGGGAATAAAATATTGGAAAGCAGATAGGAGTGGGATAGGCTGTCTACAGCTTAGTTGGTATATTTGAAGTCCAACTGTAGATCAGGCTCCTTTCTAGCTGGGGAATTTCAACTAACCTAAAATTTCTACATATTTTTTAGAAACAACACCAAGCCAAATGTCTGACCTGCTGTTTGTGGGAAAAGAGCAGATGTCCATTCTGGGAACACATTCATATAAGATGTTAGTGGTTTTCTCTCACAGTACAAGAAAATGGGTAAAAAGAGAATGTAGATTTATGTGGCATTTAATCTTGTTTTCCTATGACTGGTGTGCTCTTTTTGAGAGAGTTGGTATTGCTTCATTTTGTAGATTTCTCAGGTTTCTTTCACAAAGAAACTTCATACAGATCAAGCCAAAACAAAACAAAAAAATATAAACACACAACAATAGCTTTAAATACCAAGGATGTCAGCATGAAATTAAAATGAATCAACTGACATTTCTGCTTTGAAAATTTTTAGTAAAACTAATTTAACCCAACAGCAAAAGCTTTCTTATAAGGGAAAATTTGACCTTTTTCATTGTTTTTAGATTTAAAGGTATTGACATTGGGTGTTTTTGGTTAAAATTTGCTTCAACCTTCTAAAGTCTTTTGGGATTTTGGTCAATCCTTGGTTGTGAAATAGCAAATACAGTCAATTTGGTTGGTACAATATAGTTTTCAAAGACAAGGTCTCTGAAGTAGTAGATATGGTATCCCCTCCCACCCATGTGTAACTGTTAAAAAGAACACTGTTGTCATGTGAATTCTTATTTTTTTTGAGCTTGCTTTTGAAGTAACTTTCACAGAGAATTCCTGTTACCTGGAAATTGATGACAGACTTACACCATTTCCTTTTTTTTTCTTAGACGTTCCATCCTCAGAGCAGCCTGAACTGTTCCTAAAGAAACTTCAGCAGTGCTGTGTCATTTTTGACTTCATGGACACGCTATCTGATCTTAAAATGAAAGAATACAAGCGCTCCACTCTTAATGAACTGGTGGACTACATTACAATAAGCAGAGGCTGTTTGACAGAGCAGACTTACCCTGAAGTAGTTAGAATGGTGAGTTTCTTTTTTTCTCCGCGGACACTTTTAAGCATCTTCCATAGTGACTCACAGGTGTATATATTGTAAGAGTGAGGTCATTGGAGGTCACCTCCTCAAATGAGAGCCAACCTTTGGAGAGCTAAGCAAAATTAGTCGGCACAGTGCTAGAATTTGAAGAGCATGATTTCCTGAGAACGAAATCCAGAACTTTCAACTGTAACAGTGCTAAAGCAATCAATGACTTCAAAATATGAAGCCAAGATTGCCAGGGTATTATTGGATTTCTAGCTTTGGCAAAAGAAAAGACACAGGAAAATAACAAAAGTCTTAGATCCATGTTTGAAAAATATTCAAGCCTGTTGGATGTCTTTTATTTTTAATCTTATTCATTGTGGTATATTAGAAATGGCTTTATGTTTAATAAAATCGTGATTTGTAGAATCTAGTTAAGGCCTCTCTTGGGCTTTATAACTCACCCTTCTCTTTATAATCTCCTTGAAATCAGGGTTGATGGCTTTCATGATTTTTGAATAGTGTCTGAGATTTTGTGTGGTCATTAGGAGTTACGAGAAAAAACATTATTAACATACTATGAGTAATTATGTTCGTATTGTGTCAACGATTATTTTAGTTTTTCAAAAGCTGAGCCAAAATGTGATTTTCTGTGGGAGAGTTGCCTTCCTTGGCATCCTAGAAGATTTTGGAGCTAGAGAGTGAATGCTGCTTGGGGATGGGCTTTGCAGGGTGAGGAGGCTGGTCTACTGACTAGTGAAATAGCCGCAGAGTTCCCTATGGGCCTTGCATCATTGAGAAGACTGTTGGAGGATCTGGCACATTCTCTGTGTGCTGCCGAACATCTACCTAGCTTTTGTATTTAGCTGTTTATCATTTGTATTCAACCAGTGCAGAAAAGAGACTTTTGTGATGGAGTAGATCTGTTTAAAAATGATAGTTCAGATTTGCAAAGGGACTTGTATGGTCTCAGCATGAGAAACTGTGCCTAATCTATGAAGACCATTTGAAAACGATGCCCAATACATTCCTCAGATCTGTATCTGAATGTATATTGGATTTGTTGTTAATTTACAGGAATGTAGGGCTAGAATGTTTTGTGGGTTAAAGATGACCATGTGACTCTTGAGCAGTGCTTCTCAACCTTACGGGGAACATTTGTCAATGTCTAGAGACATTTTTGGTAAGTCACAACTAGATGTGGGAGGAGAGTACTACCAGCATCTAGTGGGAGAGGCCAGAGATACTGTTAAACATTTTACAGTGTACAGGATGGACCCCCACAATACAGAATTATCTGGCCTCAAATGTCACAAGGGCCACTGTTGAGAAACCCTGCTCTTGAGTTTGCGTGGTATCTAAACCTCTTAATGTGTTGCAGAGGATCTTCTCTAGTCTACCTGCCTTCTGCAGAGCACAGTCCCTGGTTTTAGCTTACCTGTATCATCAGCCAAGAGTGGTATCTATTGTTTATAACTTTCTTTTTATCTTTCCATGGATAGTTCATGAATATATAAGTATATACAAACATATATGTACAAATTTTTTTTGTAAGCACACAAATGGTGGCACACTATATACTTGCTGTACCTTGCTTTTTTCACTTAGCAATATATATTTCAGTACATATAAAGTTGCCTTATTCTTTTTATAGCTGCATAATATTTATTGTGTAGATGTACCATATTTAAGCAGTACTCTATGAATATCCTTATATACACATCAGTTTGTCTTTGTATGAGAACATCTGTGTATTTATTTATTTTTGAAGATTTAATTTTTTAAGAGCAGCTTTAGGTTCACAGTAAAATTGAGAGGAAAGTACAGAGATTTCTCAAATGTTTCTTTCCCAGCATAAGCACAGCCTTCCCCATTATCAACACCTCCCCCAACTCCCATCAGAGAGGCACATTTGTTAAAATTGATGATCCTACACTGGCACATCATTATCACCCAGAGTTCATTTTTGGTGTTGGACATTCTATGAGTTTAGACAAATGTATGTATAATGACATGTATCCACCATTATAGTATCATACATAGTGTTTTCACTGCCCTGAGAAATCCTCTGTGCTCCGTTTCTCTATCACCCACCACCTTCAATTCCCTGGCAACCACTGATCTTTTTACTGTTTCCATAAATTTGCTTTTTCCAGACTGTCATGTAGTTGGAATCATACAGCATGTATTCTTTTCAGATGGGCTTCTTTTACTTGGTGATATGCACTTAAGCTTCCTGCATGTCTTTTCAAAACTTAATAGTGCATTTCTTTTAGTGTTGAATAACACTTTATTGGTTGGATGTACCATAGTTTATCCATTCACCTACTAAAGGACATTTTAGTTGCTTCCCAGTTTTGGCAATTACGAATAAAGCTGATATAAATACCTGTGTACAAGTTTTTTTTTTTTTTTTTTTTTTGAGACAGAGTCTAATTCTGTCACCAGGCGCCAGGCTGGAGTGCAGTGGCGTGACCTTGGCTCACTGCAACCTCCGCCTCCCAGGTTCAAGCAATTCTCCTGCCTCAGCCTCCCAAGTAGCTAGGACTATAGCCATGCGCCACCATGCCCAGCTAATTTTTTTGTATTTTTAGTAGAGACAGGGTTTCACCATGTTGACCAGGATGGTCTTGATCTCTTGACCTCGTGATCTGCCTGCCTCAGCCTCCCAAAGTGCTGGGATTACAGGCGTGAGCCACCGTGCCCGGCCTTTTTTTTTTTTTTTAACGAGCATAAGATTTCAACTCCTTTGGGTAAATACCAAGGAATGTGATTGCTGTATATATTGTGTGGTAAGAGTATATTGCATTTTTTAAAATTTGCATTTACTTTTATTAGTTGTTATAAGTAATGAGTATGTTTAGTTTTATAAGAGACTGCCAAACTGTCTTCCAGGGTAGTGGTACTATTTTGCATTCCTGCCAGCAGTGAATGAAAATTCCTGTTGCTCCACATCCTCACCAGCATTTGATATTGATTTGACTTAAATAGCCTTTCTTCCCTGTTTCTGGACTTTCATGTATTCCCCACTCCCTCACCTCTAGTTCTAATTCTCATTTTTCCTTCAAGAGCTGACTTAAAGTGCTACTATTGTCTCCTGAAAAAAAAAAAAAACAAAAAACAAAAAAACCAGTGCTTTTTCCTTCCTTCAGTTCCTCTGCTTCTTGGCAACTCACTATTTTGGAAATTTGTTCATTTGCTACTTTTTATCTTTTCACGTATTTATCTGATTTTTCTCATCAGATGTAAGCACTCCTGAGAAGGAACTGTGTTCTGCACATACATCTCTGTGGCATCCATAATGCCTCCTACCTAGCCCAGGTCTTCTTAAAATTTGTTGAATGAATGAATTCCTCCTTAAAATGTAGGCAGTTCAGTCTCTCAAATTATGATGAAGATATTGGATGTCATTGGATTATACCCAGATTTTAAAGCTAATGTTTAGCATAATCCAAAAGTTCTGTCATTCATATAAACAAGCTTGATCTTAAACCAGGTTTGGTCTCCTAAGGGAGACCGTTTTCTCCTTCTTTTTCTCTCCATTCTCCAGCCAAAAAAAGAGACTCCTATCATGTGTGTTTTAAAATACACTGGATCTTTACCTTAGGAGATGTTGAATCTGTTAGTGTACTTGCTGTTCTAGGGCATTAGAAAATTAACTTTCTAGAGGGTAGTTTGGGCTTCTTAGAAGTATAACTTATTTTTCATATTTGGTGATTTGTGAAATTGTTAGCTACTAACTGTATATGGTACTTAGACACTCTGGAGCATTTGCAGAAAAGGAGTTACTATGATAGAGTAGAAAGAGACAAGGCGCCGGGCACGGTGGCTCACACCTCTAATCCTAGCACTTTGGGAGGCCAAGACAGGTGGATCACTTGAGGCCAGGAGTTTGAGACCAGCCTGTCCAACATGGCGAAACCTCGTCTGTACTAAAAATACAAAAATTAACCAGATGTGATGTCACATGCCTGTAATCCCAGCTACTCGGGAGGCTGAGGCAGGAGAATGGTTTGAACCTGGGATGCAGAGGTTGTAGTGAGCTGAAATCGCACCACTGCACTCCAGCCTGGGCAACAGAGCAAGACTCCATCTCAAAACAAACAAAAAATAAATAAAATAAAAAGAAAGAGACAAGACTTTGGAACCATACAGACCTGGGTTCAAATGCCAGCTCTGGCCATGCTTGCTTCATGAATGTGAGCAAGTTATTTTAACTTTGAGGCCCTCCATTTTCCTGTGGTGCTAAGAGGTACGTAGGGTGGGTGGAGGGTAGCCATAGTTTTCCCAACCCTTCCATAAATATTACACCCAAGTAACATACTTGTGCTTTTGTTTGCGTATCAGCGTTCTCACCACATCACATACATATACAGTCCAGAGAACATATGCTTACTGTTCTGTAAGGAAAACTGGAACCAAGTCCCACTTGGTACCCTCATTCTCTTCTATTTTGCTATCTCTAAGCCCATTGTATATATACATTCTGGTGCTGCTCACTTTCCTAATTTGTGTAATACATGCCTTTGGGGGATTTTGTGAGGATTAGCAACAATATTTGTAAAGCTTTTAGAATAGTCTTTAATACTTGGCAAGTATTCAATAAATATTATTTTTACATTTCAATGATTTTATTAGATACTTGGTTTTACAATGATTGGTGGAACCCACTGTTAACTCTTTGTGGACATAAAGTGCTCCGTCAGTGAGATGTGTTTTATTCCATTGCCACAGTGGTTCTTAAGCTCTCTACTTTCAAGATGATCCTGCCTGTTGGATGTCACTGTCCCCGCCTATTTCTCTTCCTTGTCACTGTAAAACAAAATCACTTCACTAGAATTAGTAAGGGAAATGGTAGTGCTTTTTTTTAATGAAATATTAATGAAGCGATAGCTGGGTTTTGCAAACCAGGACGAGTAATGATGTAAAATGGCATGTTATGGTATCAGCATTAGTACCGAGAGCCTTTGATCCAAACGAGAGCTTTTGATGGGACTTGTACT